CACACACACACACACACACACATACAATTTTTATGTAAATATATAATTATATTTTTCATGCAGGCAGTATTTGCTACATTTCGCTATATTTTTATATTATATATTCATAATGTTATTGAAGTGTGTGTGTGTCTTTATATATTTTAGATTTTAATTTTGTATTTAATTTTTTAATTATTTGAACAAAATATAAAATAAGACAGTTTATATTTAATATAGAAGATATATTTAAACATATCTTTTATGGATTTTCTAGCCTTTTCATCGGTTATTTTCATCAGCTGTGACTGTTAATCATGCCGTTATTGGTTAGGTGGTTTTTAGTTTTATTTTCGCATAATTTTTGTATTCTTTAAATACAATTTATACGTGTGTGTGTGCGCGCATTTCTACAAATTTAGAAATTTTCTTTTCTACCATTTTCATCAGCTTTATCTGTGGTTGTTAGTCATGTGAAATTGGTTGATCACAGTTTTTTTTTTTCTTTCTTTTCTTTTTTTTTTGCAATATCTGCAATTTATACATTTACATTTATATATTCATAAATGACTGACTTTTTTCCAGATTAAATGTTAGGATCAAACTGTTTAATAAAAATCGTTGGTCATATTTTCCTTCTTTGCCAAATACAAATATTGAATCATTTTTAATTATGTGCATCAACATATCACTGTACTTATGTTTTTAATAAAACTTTTTAAAGCAGGTCAAAAACCCCACAGATATTTCGGTGAACACTTTTGAGTGTTGACAAATGATTTATTGAATCATTTTGAACAAATTCACTGAAACTGGCAGTTTAAAAGAACTGATTCACAGAAATTAATCAAATTTCGAAACAATATCGGCACACAAGTGCTGGGCCCGAAACTAGTCCACTAGCACAGTCTTGAGGAAATAATAAAAGCAATATTCACAATGTTGGCTAATTTTATATTGTCAATAAAATATTAAATATATTGTAAATATTCAGTACATATGGTCGCTCAGAACTGAGTTTGGTGTGTGTGTGTTTCTCTACAGGACGGCCTCCCGCTCCACTGTAACTTCATTCCCTTGGATATCAGACTGCAGAACTGGGAGGAACTGCCACCAGAATTCAATCACAGCGAGAACAGGAGACAGGTGTGTGTGTGTGTGTGTGTGACAGTATCTTCAAGTACGGTTTCATCAGATTTCTTGAAACACATCTGTGTGTGTCAGGTTGTGCGATTCGTGCGCGAGTGGAGCTCTCTGACTGCGATGAGGCAGAGGATGGGTGAGGAAGAGTGGAAGAGTTTTTCACAGCCCCATCCTGCTGCTGGAGGAGCTCACACAATCCCAGCGCTGGCACAGCAGCACCTCCAGGCAAGAAAACACACATACACCATCAAAGCTGGAGAGCTTTGGGACTTGTGGGCGGATCTGAATCTGGTTGGCTCACATGTGGGTGTCAATCAAATTAAGCTTCTATTTTTCCCCCGTCACTCTCAAAATGTTAAAGTTAATCATTAAAGTCATTGGACCTTTATTTCTTTGATGGAAAAGCTGAATTTTCAGCAACATTTCTCCAGTCTTCAGTGTCACATGATGCGTTAGAAACCATTCTAATATGCTGATTTAGTGCTCAGTTATTATTGGAACTCAGTTATTTATAATGTTCCTTATTATTAATATTTTTGTGGAAATCATGATACATTTTTTTCATGATTCTTTAATGAATCTAAAGTTCATAAGAAAACATTTGAAATATAAATATTTTGTAACATTATAAAGATCTTACTGTCACTTTGATTAATTTAATGCATCCTTGCTGAATAAAAGTATTCATTTCTTTACAAAAATGGCCCCATTTGAACAGTAGAGTATTTTATATTGTTTATTTTAAATTAATGTATTTTTAATTATATTTAATTTTTAAATTATATTTTTGTATTTAGGTTTTTAATTATTGTAAATATATATATATATAACAGTAAGACTACAGTAAATTTAGCTGAGGTTGTGAATCATGTTAGATTATCGGTTGGAGAATAGGTGGTTTTTAAATTTAATTTAATTTTCACTTTTTGTATTTTTAATATATTTCTGTGTTAAATATTAT